GGCTGGCACCCCGGGAAAATAGTTTTCGCGGGTCGGTACTCACCAGTTTTTAAGATGCTTTTTTCTGTGGCCCAGTGGGTGCCAAGGTTTGGCACCGCAGCGTTGGGTGTCCACGTTGGTTGGGTTTCTCCAGCCCCGAGGATTCAAACCGCTGCTTCTTGCAGTCCTCCAGCAATTGACTGACCTTTCCCTCAGACCACAGAGCCCTGCAGCTGAAGAACAATTACTACATTTCCTTTAAATTCTGAACTACTTAGTAATAACTCTCCATATGATATCACCTACCTAATGTGCTACGTATCTACTTACCTCTTACATTCTGTGTTTCCTGGAATCCGAGAGCCACGTGCTGCCATAATGTAACTGTTGGCCGCCATTAGGGTATAATTGGCAAGTTTTAAAGGGGAATTTTCAATAATTTTTCATCAACTGAAGAATATTTTTGTATCCCCATTTCAGTAAAATCCTTGGGACACATCAGAACAAAGATTTCTTCTGCAAAGTTTGAATACAAAAGCACGGTTTTGCTCTCTTTGAGGGAGGAGACAGGCTGCGTTGCCATTTAAAATGGACATTGTGCATAGCAAAGTGCTTTGAAAGTTGCAAAAGTTTAAAGAATATTTGGTTTAGGCAGCTTTACACCAGTGTAGTTTTCAACAGAAAGGAATTACGGAGACAGGACTAGTGAATGTATGGAATGATTACGTAAGAAGGAGTCTTCAGGCAGGAAAAGATGGGTGTCCGAGCGGCACAGAGCACGGAACGGTCGCGCCTCGCGTCTTCTAATGCAGGAACAAGCATCAGATGGAGTGAGGTGTGGTGGGCTCAGAATAAAAGCCCTCGTGTTCTCACGCTACGTAATTAACTGAGGAGCTCTTTGCCACAGAACATTATGGGAGCCAAATTTAGGAGTTAATTTGGTGGAAGAAAGCTCAGAAAATTCGTTTGGTGCTTTCTGGTGTGACTGCAGGTTGCTACTTCTCAAATTGTCCTGTCAGCTCTGCAGGAAATGAAGGCGCAAGAGCTGATGCAGACACAACAGAAACAAAACACAGATACAAAAAGAGAATAAGAAAGGAGTTAGAGCATTTGTCCTTTTTTGCATATCCACTGAAGCTTTTAATATCTGTAGGGATGTTAAAGCCCACTTGTCTCACTTCAAAGAGGGAATAATAAATAACAAAGTTGGATGTTTTGTTAATATTACGAATTCTCCTTGCTTTAGTTAATTCAGTCCAAGGCTATGTTTGCAGTGGGGCCTGATTTCTCTGTAAAGTTGGTCACCATTGCAAGAGATTTCCACTTTCAGTCTAGGAAGGCTTCTGTCTAACCAAAAGTGGTTTTGCTATTTTTTAAAAAAAGGAGACATACTCTCTTGAAAATCAGTTTTCCCTGAGCCTATCAGCTATTCAGATTGTAGTCTGGCAGTCTTGTCTTCTTGGCCGTTAACCTCTGTAAAGTGTAATGCGGAAAGAACAGAGAATATACAAAATCAAGGTGCTCTCTGTACCTTTTAAGTATGAGCTTGCAAGATCATTTTGTCCTGTTTATGTTACAGAATAAAGATAGGAAAATCAGACAAGTTTACTGTTTTCGCTGGCTGTTCCATTTACCCATTGCCGTGACTGTCATAGCAGTTATTTTTGGTTCTCCCTTTTACTATGGAAGCAGTTGGTACAATTGGCAAAGAGACGTAGGGTTAGCAGGCTTTTTTTGTTTGCTTGCTTCCAAAAAAAACCAAACCCACCAAACAAAACACCAACACAGCTCTAATTATAATTAAACTAGTAATAAGTCATAAGAAGAGCCTGGCTCTACCTTCCCTATAACCTGCCACCAAGAAATTAGGTCCCCTACATCGGTTGGTTTGAAGAGTCAGCTTGTCAGGGTGCTGACTCATCTCATTTGAACTGTACCTTTATCTTGAAAGGTTGGACTGCATGATCCTTGTGGTCCCTTCCAACCTGGGATTCTGTGACTCTGTGGAATTAATGGCAGCAAAAAGGTTTCCCCCTTTCCCTTCCCTTTTAAGACTGAACAAACCCCGCTCTTTTGGTCTCTCCTTGTCTTCCGTCTGCTCCAACTTTGTCATTATCTTGGTGGCCCTTGACTGGAATTGCTTGAGGATGTCAATATAATGTACTGGGGAGCTCAACACTACTGGTCTCATTCTGTGGCTGGATAATACTTCTCCAAAGTCAACCATTACAAATAGAAAATAACTAGCATGGTTGCTAAAAATTAACGCATTTTTTTATTATGGCTTGTCATTGCTGAAGAACATAGTTGACATAAGCTCTTGAAAACTTCGAATAACCCCTAAATCCAAATACAGGATTTCCTGTCCGTTGTTTTTGGACACTGGATTTCCACATGGAATTTTGTGTATACCATTGGCCCCATATCTGCGATAGGGGGCTAGGACAAAACAACCAACCATTTCAAGCCAAAGTGATTTTTAAAAAAATTGTTAGTAAAGGATAATTCCAGATCCAGTGCTATGGCCATATTTATTGCTCCCTTCCTGTTGTTAAAATGGAATTGTGTAAAGCTTCTGAACAGTGTTAAAAAAAAAATTGAGAGAGTGCTTCCTGCACATCCTGTGGAGATGCTGGTAATGCAGGAGCGTGATTTGGCAAGACAAGGCAGTCTTCATTTGAAATTCTTAGCATGTGAAACATACATCAAGCATGCCTTAGGAGTGTAAAATGTTTCCTCCGTGGGAAAATCTAGATTAAAGGAAGCAATTCTTTTATTCTGGGAAAGCTTTGATACCAAGTTCATTGACTTAAGCGCACACAGTAGTGCTGTGTAGATCCCCATCCAGATGTGCTTGGCCCCGTGGGGGCACGGCCTCCACAAAGGTACCAGCTTGTTCTGACTGCCGTGTCTTCTCTGCAGATGTCTCTCCAGTTGTGGCAGGCCTCATTGGTGCTACCGTCCTTGTGGTTTCTGTCTCAGTAACAGTTTTTGTGTGGACATGCTGTCACCAGCAAGCAGAAAAGAAGCACAAAACCCCGCCCTATAAATTCATTCACATGTTGAAAGGCATCAGTATCTATCCGGAGACCTTGAGTAACAAGAAGAAAATTAATCGAATCCGGAGAGACAAGAATGGCACTCCTAAGGAGGGCGGAAGGGGAAACCTCTTGGTGGATGCTGCTGAATCTGGTTTAATAAGCTCTGATAAGGCTCCAGATGGGCCAAGTGCAGCCCCCTGCGTTGACCAGCTCCCAATAAAAGAAGATTACGGAGATGAACTAAGTCCAGATCAAAGCCTCACTCCAGGAGGAAGTAAAACCTCCTCCCCATCTTCTCCAGGGGAAGACATCATGTTGGGTGAACTGACTTTCTCAGTGGACTACAACTTCCCTAAAAAAGCACTGGTAGTTACTATTCAGGAGGCTCACGGGCTGCCAGTGATGGATGAACACACTCAGAGCTCTGACCCTTATATCAAAATGACAATTCTTCCGGATAAAAGGCATCGAGTGAAGACTCGCGTGCTTCGCAAGACGCTGGACCCAGTCTTTGATGAAACCTTCACCTTCTATGGGATCCCATACAGCCAGCTCCAGGATTTGGTGCTTCACTTCCTCGTGTTGAGCTTCGATCGCTTTTCTCGAGATGATGTTATTGGTGAGGTCATGGTGCCCCTTGCAGGGGTGGATCCAAGCACTGGAAAGGTTCAGCTGACCAGGGAGATCCTCAAAAGGAACATACAAGTAAGTTGCTTAACGTAGCATGACACAAGACCCCTTGCATTGCATTTGGTCCCAGCTCTTTTGATCTGGGAGCCTCTGTGGTCTGATAAGCAGAAATACTGCAAATCCTTCTCACAGATACGTGTTACTAGTATTATGAGACTGTGCTCTTTCAGTTAAGCAGTTCTCTGATGAGTGGTTATGGTGCTTTGATAAGGCATGGTCGCTATTTAGGCACAGAAGTTATGAATGTTATAACCAGCGATGCCAAGAAAAAAGGCAAAGTCCTCATCTCCAAGTAAAAGGGCTGATGTGGTAACGGGACATTCGTCTGCAAAGACAAACCTCGCTTAGAGAGGGACGTTTGTCTGGCCTGACCATTTTAGACGCCTGTACTTGTCACTAGCTACATCCGAATTGTTGCTGTAAGCCCTAAGTAAGTGGGAATACATCAACATGGTCAGTGCGGCTGACGTAATTCTCTTGTCCTGGAGCAGGCTCTGAATCAGCTCGGATGCATCCCACCCTAGATGGCTGTTGTTTTCTCACCTGAGAACAAAGCGTGTCTAAGATGGTTTTGTCAAATGCAGACATGTAAAATTTAGGTGAAAAGAATCCCACTCCTGGTGTCCGGTGCTGCAACCCGTATAAGGTAGTAAGGCTTACACTGGGGAAAACGTCTTCTGTCCCCAGAAAATACACGGTGCTCAGGTAGGAGGATGAGGAGGTAGTTACGACTTCTATTTTCTTGCTTAGTTTATTTTTGCTACCCATCCTCCAGCTTTAGTAGAAAAAGGCATTTGGGCTCACTTATTTCCTTAACATATTGGAAATTGTTGCTGGGCTCTATAAAACACTTCGTTATGTCCTAGAGCGGCAGTATTTTACTTGAAAAGTAGTTGTTTTTTCTACTCTATGAGGCATTTAACTTTTTTTTTTGAAGTTATTTAAAGGAAACTCAAACCAAAAGAATCCAAAAGCAGAGTTCTGGTAATTTGCTTTCCTTTGGTTCTTGGGATGCTTTATATTGTCATAAAGCAAGTGGCTGGTTTAGGTGCTTTTACTAGTATTCTTTTCAGTGCACTGACTGTGTCTCTGAAGTAACAGATTAAAAATAGAGGAAAAAGGTCATGCTAATTAAAAATAGATTTAATCAAGGATTGAAATGATTTAACATTTATTAGTAATCAAAAATTTATTTACCTTGGAGACAGACATTCTAGGTAAATAGCCTTCGTTCCTTGCATTTGGAAGATTAGTGTGAAACACAGAGGAACTGCTGAAATAAAAAGAAACCACCAAAATTACAAGGAACGTTTTCTGTGTCTAAGTTTACACACACAGTTTTTTCCCACTAAGCTGACTAACAGCAGCTGAAAGAACAGCTTCACCTGTTGGGTGATCACCGGAGCATTCAGTGTGACGTGGTTTGAAGTGAGGAAAGTGCCTTGGTCTGGGGACGCCCGCAGGCCCTTTGCTGAGCCAGGCTGACAGTCCCAGACGCTGCTGGGGGAGGTCTGAGCGCCCACACGGTCACAGGCAGCCGTTGGAGCTGTCGCGATAGCTCTGCTGTCAGTGCCTTACCAGCACCACACAGCTTCAGACCCGTTGCTAAGACTCTTTGCCTTGATAGCAAATAAACTTAATCTAAATTAGTGCCATCTCAATGAAAGTTAATGAACATGATCTGGAAACTAAAACTAAGTATCGTACATTATGTTATTTTTTTTAAAGGATATACAGCAAGTTTAACCGGGGAGATCTGGTTTTGTCTTTTTTTGTCTTCATCCTGTACCTTTGCAGACTAAACCAGTGGTGAACCAGTCAACGTGTACCTAAAGGACTCGAGATGCTTGGCCATCGAAGCTCCACCAAAAGCCAACGAAACTTAAGCTTCTAAAATCCACAGACAGTTCTAGTAGCAGACCTCAAAAGGCAGCCACAGCCACTGCTCTCTCAGAAGGTGCCCACCAGGTTTGCCCTCATGGAAACAGAATTCAAAGGGAGAGGCTGTGGAGATGCTTCCTGCGCTCAGCAGGCGCAGGGTGAACAGCACAGGGGGGTTTGCCTTGTGCCACTCGCTCCTTCTGCCAGAGGCTCTGTCTTCCTGAGACACTTAAAATGGGCTGCATCTGACTTTCCAATGTTTTAGGCATTTAGCTCAGGGGAAGGAAATTCTGGTGGCCTCTGACATTTGTCCCTGTTAATAACACCTTCTTGTCCTAAGTTCTTTCTGGTTCTTTTTCACAGAAATGCATTAGCAGAGGGGAGCTGCAGGTCTCCTTGTCCTACCAGCCTGTGGCGCAGAGAATGACTGTTGTGGTGCTGAAAGCCAGACATTTGCCAAAGATGGATATCACTGGCCTCTCAGGTAGAAGCTATTTTCTCCAGCTCTAAATGTGTAGGAAAAAACCCTCCGAGTTCACTTTCAAGATCTTTTCACTTGGCTTACCTGAAGATTTTCTTTGCATGCTTTTCCTCAAAGCCTTTGTAAGGGCGATGGATCACTGTAAATGATCCATCCCTCACCAGCAGGTGATTATACGAACAACGCCAAGTCCTTCCAGCTTTCTGGCATTATCTGGTTGTTTATGAAGGCAGTATTTTCTAAATTCAGCAGGTCTCCACGTTGCTTTTGGCCAGCCTGCGCAGGCTCTGTGCCTCCATGCTGCTGTCACCCGTCATTGGCCTTCACAGCGTTTTGTCCATGGCCCTACCACTGCTCGGTAGTTTGCCTCAAACCCTGCCCCTGGCAGAGGAGGGTAAAAGAGGACAAGTGTTTAAAAAAGGAGTGACAAACCCAGAACAGAGGAGTAAATTCATGACATTAGAAACAATTCTGGGTTGGGGTTTTGTTGTTCCACTACTTGAAGGTAAGAGCAGAGCAGCTGCTCTGGCTTTCCTATTTTGTGGCCACAGATTCGCAGACTCCTGAATCCCCTTAGCAAGGTTTCCTTAAGGATTAGAGGAAAACGGTTGGAATCCTCTTGAGAGTCAGTAATAGCCCGATAGCAAATTTAGTCCCGTTTTTTGCAGCTTTCTCCTGTACACCTCAGAGAGAACGCGGACTAGGCTTAATTCTCTATTGTAGGCCTTAAATGTTACTCTTTCTGGAAGAAAAAAAACCAAACCAAACCAAACGCTTTTAATGTGTGGTTTCCAACCACAGAATAAGTTTTTCAGTAACTGTTCTACCTACTGATTCTTGCACAGCTAACATAATTTCTTTATGTGATCTTTATGTTATGCATAAGCTCATCATTTCAATTGGATTAAAAAAGGTAAAAATTAGCCCGTGTCAGCTGGGCAAGTGACTTCCAGCTTCAAATCTTGGCATTATGTGGGGGAAAAAGCACTGGGTGCTTGGTATCTTAATTTTAATCCTAAACAAACAAGCATCCACGTAAAGAGTAAGCTCACTGATAAAGTAACAGAGGGAGGCTGATGGAAAAACGAAGGCTTTGTTTTAAACTTTCTTCCTTTTCAGCACATTCCACTATAAATGTTTTCCATCTGCAAACTATTAAAACCATTTTGATGCTTCGTTGGCTATTTCCTGAAATAGGGTAAAAATTACTTCTTGTTATAGACGACAGTGGAAAGTGAGAGCTTTGGCCAGGCAGGCACTGAGCTCACCAAAAGCCGCCCATTTGTTATTTCTAGAATTACCTACTGCAATTTACCTGCGACTTGCTTCCCCCGAGTCTGCAGGCGGTGCTGAAACGCAGAGAATTTGTGCTGCTAACATCAGCCGGTTGCTTTGTAAGGAGAAAGTGCCCCAACAGTGCCCCCCTCCTGGGGGAGCTGGGCCAGTCGCCTCGAGCCCCAGCGCTGGAGCTGGCTCAGGGTCAGCGAGCTGAACCCTGCCGTTGCTGCCAGGAGCATTCCCGGGCTGTGTTATGAGTTTATTTCTCTCTCTTCTCCAGATCCATACGTTAAGGTGAATGTTTATTACGGAAGAAAGCGCATAGCGAAAAAGAAGACTCACGTGAAGAAGTGCACTTTGAATCCTGTCTTCAATGAATCCTTCATTTACGATATCCCCGTCGATCTCCTTCCTGACATCAGCATTGAGTTTCTAGTTATCGATTTCGACCGTACCACAAAAAATGAAGTGGTGGGGCGGCTGATTCTGGGAGCGCACAGCATCACCGCAGGCGGCGTGGAACACTGGAGAGAGGTGTGTGAGAACCCTAGGAAGCCAGTTGCCAAGTGGCACAGCCTGAGCGAGTACTAGCAGAGGTTGCGGCAGCGACAGCCGACTCGTAGAACAGACTTAAACCTTGTTTTAGCTGTAGAACTAAACTTTCGTAAGCAGCAGCAGCTGATTGGTTCTGTAGTGATGTGATTTTGCAGGGCACTAAAATTCTAAAGAGCATTAAATGAAAAAAAAAAAGATACCACAAATATATATAACAGTATAATCACGCTATTGCATGCCTAATACAAACTGAAATTAGTATAACTACCAATATCGAGTTGCAGATTTTAATACAATTATCTGTCACTATGGAAGTTGTGTTTGTGCCGAACTGTCTTTGCTGGTATTCACCACGATTGGCCTGTCTTTATTAGGCTTCTCCCAGAGTTTCTGAATTCTGCTGTTCAACCTCTAGTTTCTTGTTCGTTTGCCTGCCCATTGGTTCTTGCAGTTCTGTTCTTTGCTGGTCTGGGACTACCAACCACATTTCCACGTAAAGGTGGTTTAGAATTCTGCACTATCGCAAAAGGACAATACAGGGGAAAATGGCACTTTCCTTCAGAGAACTAGTAATTCTGTTGTCAGGTACCGAAATGCTGGCTGTTGCGATGTACTTGTGGAGCTGTAACGTCACATCATCAAAGATTTGCATCTGTAATTCAAACACCAGGAAAACGATCATGTTGCTTTTGCCACATGGAAGTTAGCACAGGCATCATCTCACCGTCAGAACTGGGGAAACTCCGCTCTGTTTGATTTTATTTAACCCTGTCTGTGCATAAAGGGCCCAAGAAAAAAACAAAACCTGACGTGTCAGTGGTAAGGAATCTCTTGCTGGTTCTTTTAAACATTAAATGTGAAATTCTACATGATTGATAAGTTCTGTTATAATGGCATAACATATCTGAGCTAGGAAAACATGCTGAGGGATGAGGTTTTAAGTTAAAAACTTACAGAGCTTCCCTTCATTCATACGTGAGTCAGTTTCTGTTACGTATGACCTTGTAACAACCCGAGAGCCAGGTCTGCAGAAAGGAGCACAGGGCAAGGCCTGTCACTCCCAGATGTGTCAGACTCTTCAAGAAGTTCATTTCAGAGTTTCAAGGCAGCTTGAGTTGGTTCTTAAATTGTGAATGACTTCTGGGACTCGGGATACGCTTACCATCACCTCTGAAGTGGACAAATATTCCTTGTGCGGCCTCAGCGTGACCCCGTAGCACTTCAGGCTGTTAACCCTGAATAGTCAGCAGTTCCGAACAGAAGTTCATAAAGTTCCACAAACGCATGTTTGGAAGCGGCTGCGTTAGACCTCACGGCAAACAGCAGCCTGTGAGCTGGTTTTGTCCAGGACAGCATCCTGGCAAGTAACTCGCCTTGGCTTCTTGTTACATTCAAGCCAGGAAAGAGATAAGGATGATAATTGGCAGCAAATGACTGCAAACACCGTTGGTAAACTGAGCGGAAATAGTTACAACAGGCTGTAGAAATTAGAATTATTACTGAACTCTCCAGTGGAAATATGAAGCAGAACTGAGCTTGCAAAGAGGCACGTAGAAGACCGCACATTTTCAGTAAGTGTTTAGTTGCTTCCAGGCAGCCAATCTGTTCTGTGCCCTGTGGAATGTAAATAATGTATTATAATTTTTAAAAAATAAGATCATTTTACTACTTACAGGACTTTACTACTGAATTTTAGAGCCCTGTTGGAAAAATGATCCTTCCAACCTTCATACTAATGAAAGTAGAAGAATTGAGCAAGTCTCACTCGGTTTCCTCTCCAGCTGCCACCCAAAGCAGCAGCTGCTGGGAGGGCTCTTTGTGCCAACAGTCAGCACTTCCTCGGTTGGCAATACCTTGGCCTCCCTTCCTCAGAGATTATTTCTGGAAAGCTGAGTTCTCTCACTCATAGCTGGTTCCTCACCGAAACATCCTTCCAGGCGGTGTCTTTTTAGCAACATAAGTCGCGTTGAAGCTGAAGCTCTCCATGTCTCAGCCTTGTGAGGCAGATGGAAGCGCGGACCTGGTGCATGCTTTCTCGATCCCAATTACGAGGATTTCTGCCCGAGGTCACCGCAGATTTTCTCTCTCTCTTAAATGCTTTCTAGCTCATGCGCTCTGCGTGGCTCACAGCCGCAAAACAGCGAACACGTCCTCCCTTGGAATTGGTGTAGGTCTCTTTCAGTCCTAGTTTTTGCACTACCTAATGGCGTTGCTGAAGTTTAGCAACCTCCACGACTTCTCCTCAGAACATGCTTTCCGACACCGCTCCAAACATCTGAATAGGACGTACTAACAGCAACAAAATGCTCCCTTTTTTTCCCTTTGGTGTGAAAAGCATGCTTCAGCCTAGATGATCTCCTTAAGATTCCTTTAGTTGAAAAGGAAAGATGAACTTCTCGTCAAGGAAACATGCTCAGGGTAAATAGACGTAGGCTATCAGGCAGATTGGAGTAGCTCCAGCACTCTTCTGGAGTAATAGGAAACTAAAGATGTGCAGATATATATTTTTTAAAACGTAAAATAGGCAGTAAGTGACAGCGGACTCACTGTAAAATCTCCCAGGTGTGGTTATCCTTTACCTTGTGTCTTCTATTGTAAAATTAACTTGGACAGTTACAACTTTGTGTGGAAAAAAGAGAAAAAAAAGGCAAAAAACCTAACTCAACGTGTGAAACTGCATAATGCTATAAGCTAATCTACATGATGTAATGCTATCTTGTATGTTGAATTTGTTAACGCACATTGAGCGTGCAAATAAAAATTAAATCACTTTAGCTTCTGACTGTGCCATGTTTGACTGCAGGCAACACGTACGTGACTACACTGAGTATTTTAAGAATTTGTTTCTAAAAATCTCTATTTCCACAGGAAAAGCACACACAAAATAAATCTGAAAGAAATAAAGGAACAGAACAGAATCCTGGCAAATTAAGTACAGCGCTGTTACTTGAGTTTGCAACATAATCTAAACAGCATTATAATTTGGTATCATTTGGCATGAATGGTCATTAGTCAAGTTCAATCTAAGTGACAAAAGCGGACATCAGATGGGTAGATAAAGAAGCGATTTGACTCTCGACATTTGTAGTTTAGAGGCATTACTGGATTCCCAGTCAAAACGGAATTCCCCAGGAGCCATTCTGTCCGCCTTGCTCTGTGCGGGATGCAGCAGTCTCTCCTCATGCTCGGTGCTCTGGCTCCCGTGACTTGTTTTTCCGCAGCTCCCCACCAGCGCTGCACAGAACAAGATTGCTGGGCACACAGCCACATCTTTAGAAAACGCCAAATAGCAGAGAACCTTGAGCTGTGTCTCCCCAGCAACAGAGACTACAGCGAGCACTTTAATGCCATCCCTCACTCTGTCTGATAGCTTCTCGTGTAGCAGAGGACCAATCTCCAGAGGTGTTTTAGGTGTCTCAGGACGTAAAACGTACTTCAAATCTCATCCTCAAGGAACCAGTCAGTTTCAGCCCAGGCTTTACAAAAAGACTGCCTAACGTCCCAGAAAAGGAACGTGGCCAGTACTGCAACACAGTTCTGTGCCAGAGGTAAGGATGTCACAAGCTTCCCTGCCTTCCACACTGAGCGTGAAGTGCACTCTTTAGAGTGCCTCGCGTGCCTTCTTCAATACAAGTACACCACAGTTAACACTAAAAACCGACTTGCTCCAACTTTACTCCAGGACAAAGATGAAAATGATCAAACTGCAACGGATGCCATTCCCATCACCAGGTTCACCAGGAACTGTGTAGGCTATTTTAGTAAAACTGAGGGAGGAGTGACCAAAGCACTCCAGAATTTCAATAGGCTTGAGTCTGACTCCTGCTCTGGTGATTCCATTTCCACTGCGTGGCTCAGCAGCGCGGTCAGGCGCTGATCATCGTGCAGGCACTGATCCACGTGACTTGTGCGCGCATTCAAATCCAATGCCAAATGACTCCAGACGCACTGTTTTTAACACCTGTGCTTACCATTAACTGCATTGTTCTCTGCACTGCAATTGATCACAGCGTTGAACAACTTTCAGTTACTTATCATGGTAATAAGTAGAGTTATTAGAGCACTTGGCTAAAACTGCTCAGCCAAAGCGCACAGTCGCCGATTTTCTACTTATTGTGCAAGATGTGAAAGAAAATCTCTCTTCATCCTCTGCTTGGCCTCTGCATCTAATACAGCGTGCCTTTAAAAACAGTCCATTTCAGGTTCTTACACTATTCAGCTGAACAGAAACAAAAGAATTTCCATAAGAAAAAGGGTGGTGGGCGGGAAGCGAACAGAATAGGTTTAACGAACTATGAAAAGGGGAATGGTTTTGTGGAGAGCATGGAAGCCCAGCTCTGACCCTCTTCCCACCTTCCTTGGGTCTGGGTGCTGGTGCCATTTAAAACAGCAGGATTTCACAGTTTTCAGTGCAGTTGGGTCTTTCCTCCTCCAACGGCTTCTGCCTCACCCAGTTCCCCACAGGAGAGAGTCGTCGTGCCATGGCAATGTAATTCACTTTTGATGGCACACACTGTGTCGGGGCTCTCTCGGTATTTCCTTTGAGCAGCCAGCCAGGAATTGCTCGCTCTCCTTTCCCAGCCCCAGACAGGCGGGATTGCACTGAGGAAAGAAGCTGCCATCTGAGGGGTCCCTCTGAGGGGCTTCAGAGCACCCTTATTTCAGCCTCATGAAAATGCAAAAACTGCATCTTGAGCACTTAATGGGCCATTCCACCACGTGGGACAGATCACAGGGCCCCAGCATTAACACCGTTATTGTCAAGACTTGAAATCTTCTCCAGTAACTACTTGAAGCCAAGCCAGTCCCCTGCCTGCAGCGAGGTGCCCACAGCGCCAGAGCCCCCGCGCCCGCGCACCCCGGATGTCCGCGAGCGCTGTCTCTGAACCCCAGGTTTCACTTCTGTGCTACAGAAAGTGGACGATTCCTGAAAAGATGCTTTCTGTATCAGGCCAAATGGGAAACAGTACCAAGAAGTAAGCGGAACATAAGGAAGTGGCAGAAAAGGCAATGCCAATGGGAAAAAAGGAAAAAAACACCAACAAACTATCCACCCCACCCCCAAAAAAGCCCCTAAACGACGCTCCCATTTACCTCTACTATATTGCGGAACAGTTCCACCCTTCTTACCAACATGGAAGGGCCTGTATAGACAATTTTTAGACTCTGCATCAACGCAGAACCTATCGCATTGCATATATAAGGATATTAATTAATCTGGTCCTGAAATTAGTCATCTCATTTGGACACTTACCTCATGCAGCTGCTACTGCCCCACTCATAACTGAAACTCGGAAAGTCAGCATACTTTACGCAGAACATGCAAAGGTAAAGCAATGCAGCTGGACAATATCCAGAACATATTTAAACAATTTAGCACCAGGATTTTAGGCTTTGTGACACTGAAGTATAACGTACCAACTCCTTTTTTTAGAGCAGGATAAGCATTTTCCGAAATAATTTACAGACACACCACGAGCTTTCCTTCTTCGGCACTTTCAGGCTGAATGGCCTTCTCCCCATCATGCTGGACACCACAGATTAAAACATCAAATGAAAGTGATTGTATTAAAAATTATATATTGTGTCAAATAAAACAATTCTGTGTACAAATTTATACATGACAAAAATAAAACTCTTTTTTGAATAACACTGTAAAAAAGTGCTTGCTGCTGTTGTGATGTAGTAATTCTATGAGCAACAGGCTTACAAAAGGCATTAGTAAACACTTACGCATTGAAGGACTCATGTAAGGCACAGACATCAGTTATTTAAAGGTGAGAACAGTCCCACAGAGCTTTCAGTACTGCTGACAGGTGACCTCTGCATGTTACCTGAAAGTTCTGAATGCAGGAAGCTCACTAATACTTTATGCTAACTTACCACATCAAGGAAAATAACAGGGAAAACTTGTCATCGTCATCAGGTCCCCGTTCAGCACTTCCAGAAGGCTGGTCTGAAATTATTTTTACAATGACAGAATCAGCAACTGCTTTTAGAGCAGCTTCTTAGCTGCTGCCCCCTCCTTCTCCTCAAGTTTTCTGCTGATGGTTTCCCTAGGATTTTTATCTGAGTTACAGACAGCATTTAATCCAACAATGAATGATTAGTAGGGCTTTAAGTGACTACTGAAAAGACGCACGCAACTGCTCACACAGCTAATTTAGGAGAGGTCTTGAATTCTAAACAATCTGAAACATTCTCACCCTTTTTCAAACACTGTACGTGTGATTATTACCAGCAGAGCTTAACACTGGAGCACTGGAAGGGAGCGAGAAACAGAAAACAATTTAAATGTTTATCTCAGCCACAAACAAAAGTGTTCCCCTCCTCCAAATTTCTCATTTGAAGTTTTTTCCCCTAAATCTTACACAAAGAAAACACTCTTAAAACAAACAGGCATGGAATTTCCAGGCACATCTTAAGCAATAAGGAGTTCAGCAAGAAAAAATGCTTAAGTCTGTATATTTGCTATCCTCGCTCTTGTGCTAATCCTTTTACATACGAATTTTCAGTTCTGACTGCGCTATCGCATGCAGCACGCCGAGACTGATATTACAGATCTGATTTCTGACTAGTAAGAGTAACGTAACTGCTGACACAGAAGATATAGTACACTTGGTCTGCTGTTTTCACTCTTAAACTGAAAGGTTCTAGGCACACAGTTCTCCGAGAAACTTGTTCTAACCATGTCCGAGATACCTAAGGTTTGTACTTCTATTAGAAAACAAAAGCAAGAGGAACACCAGACATGGAACTACAGCCTGGTTTGGGTGGAAGGGACCTCACAGCCCCCCAGCCCAACCCCCATGGGCAGGGACACCTCCACCAGCCCAGGCTGCTCACAGCCTCGTCCAACCTGGCCTTGGGCACTGCCAGGGAGGGGGCACCCACAGCTTCTCTGGGCAACCTGGGCCAGGGCTTCGCCATCTGCCTCTCTCTGCTGGATTTAATTCTATAACCAATGCACATGTAAATCAGCTCGGAAGCAGAGAATATATGTACATACGGAGTGTCTGCCACAGTAGCACTTTCTTAACCAAATCATTCTTTACTGAGCAAAGACAAGCTGGACCCGCACTGCCTGGACCACCTGCATGTACGTATGCAAGGTCAGGGATCTGAATACCTGTCAGGTCTGTTGCTGCGCCCAGCTAACAGCTTCCTTCCACCGCACCGGCAATTCTGCTTTTAAGCCTGTACTGGAATAATTTTACCAGATACCTCAGTATCAGTCAATTTCTCTACAAAGTAGCTATCACAGAGTAATGTGAAATTACTATGTTAGAGACTTCTACCTAACAAGGATACTGGCTCCTTTAAGACAAGAACATAAACCAGAATGTAAATAAATAAGCCACTGCACCTTTACAGCTATAATTTTTAACAAGCAAGTCAGAAAATCAAAAGCTGTGGTTTCTACAGCATTATTACATTACACATGCTATGGCAACACAGTAAATGCTATATACAGTAAGAAAATGCTACATATTCATGCACTGTTGCCAAGTTATAGCTGCCATAGGAACCATAATTTGCTTTTCCTAACTTGTTTAGAATCTCACCTATAACACTGCTGATTAACTGATAATTTAGATAAACCTGTACAAGTATTCCACGTTACTGTTGCTGGGGGGGGGAAATCTATTCCATGAGAACACAAGAACTCTCGCACAGCTCCATTCAACGACACCTATGCACAGCAGAGGCTGCTAGTCACGTCTGCTTTGTAAACTGCTGTTCAGCGTGACCCCGACGAGCCGCCTCTCGTGATGCGAGAGTTACTGTTCCAGAGAGCAGTAAAATTTTCTTGTGCAAACAACTAGGAAAAAAAAATTAAGTTAGGCTGGGCAGAACTTCAGCAATACTTTACACAGTTCAGCTTCCAGTACACAGTGACCGAAGACAAACGTTTCAAAAGTGCAGCGACATAAACCTATCAGCATTTGTAACCAGCAACACACAAGCAATATCTGCCAGATCCAGTAAATGACAACAAACAGAAGCACAACCGTTACTGTGTCTCACGTTAAATATCAAAAATTAAGGGAGCATCATTCAAAACAGAAGTAATTGGTAGAAGTTATGCATTCCCTCATAGAAGTCCCATCAGCTTGCAAACGTGCTGTCAAAGTGTTGTCACTAAACCGCTTTGGCTACAAATGGCTGCTCACAGGTTTTGTTTTCATTTTGCAAAGGAATTCTCTCTGTTCAAGTGACTGAATCCTTCTTCCTTCTAAACGGTGACTTCAGTCTTTTCCACATGCTGCTTTTAGGTTTTGATTTTTTTCCCATTGCCATTACTGCTTCTTTTTCTTTCCTGCGGATTTCTCGCACAAGAGCATGAAATACATCATCAATATAGTAACGGTATGCAGCTGAAGTTTCAAAAAAAGGGCAGTTGAATTCTCGTGCTAAAGCAGAGCCTTCTTCTTTGGAGACCTGGGAAAAAAAAAAAAAATCACAATTGTCAAGACAGCCAAAACCAGAACGTTTATTTCCTTACCATTTCTTGTTCTGCTTTCTCTGTAACTGTGCATGCACGCTCCTGGTTCCATAACAGCTCATTTCCACTGACCTCCAAATCTTTCTCTAGAAACTTGTTTTCCTCTTTCACTCATTGCTTCTCTAGCAATGCAGTCACCTGCAAGAAACTCTCTGGACATTCATGAAGCAACAAAGTCCTTTGAAAGAACTTTCTTTCCTTGGAGAGTAATCCAGAGGTTGCTCAACATGAGCAGTCCTCAGCCCTAACACAAGCATCTGTCAGTCTGGTAAGCTACAGGCATTTCGTTCTCTTGGTCAAAACCTATTCTGTTTCTCAGACTGGTTCCCAGAACCAAGCAAAACCCTTCAAAAAAAGCCCCAAAAAACCAACAGCCCACCCCAAAACTCCAAACCAAACCAAACCAAAGAAGTCTTGCCAAGGCCATGGAAAAGCAACACCCACTCCTCATTCTAGACTTTACATCTCTTAGCACGCGTGTTCTACCACAGGTACCGTAATTTTCCTGCTACGACACATACGGTAAATTCATTTACTTCCAGGTATATCAATGGCACCTCTTGAACTACGCTTCCCAAGTGTGTTTCCTTTGAGTGAAGCTCTGCTTAAAAACTGTTTTCCCACAGGTGCTAGTTACCGTTTCCTTAGGCTGAAAGTAATTTTCCTTTCCGTCCATTCTTACCCAAGTTCTCCATTATTACATGTTTGTTCTTAGCACACTTGCATCTGCAATTTGTACTAGTGTCTGCCAGTGGTTTATAGAACGCTAAATCTCTATTAACAGGATCTCCTTTCCGAAATTGAAGAAAACAAAAAAATCCCAAGAGCAGCTGAAACCCAAAGCATCAACTCGATGATTTTCCTTTTGTGACCGCTATACGCATTTGGTTATTCAACACATCCCGTGTCAAACAAGTGCTTCTCTACTCTTTAACTTATTATATAGTAAACATGCAAAATTACCAAGAAAGGTAGTATAACCTCTTGTTTTACTGCATTTTACAACAGAAATAACTTGTAATTGTGGGCCTCTTTTGCACCATTTACCTGCCGTAGTTGCGTCAGATCAGATTTATTTCCCACCAGGACCACGGGAGTGTCATCAGTGCGTCGAACACGATAGATGAGCTGTTTGAACTCCCGCACTTCATGGAAACTGCGCCGGTCTGTGATTGAGTAACAGATGATAAATCCCTCGCCAGCCCTCATGTACTGGTCTCTCATGGCTGTAAACTCCGCCTAGAAACAGACGATTACATTTCAGTGGCAAAATACAATTTCTAATTTGCTCAGAAACACAATATGCATTCCTAAAACAGCTGCATAGGAACCCTGTAAACAAGCTGGTCATCTACATTCTTGTCCCAGTACATACAGGACAAAATATTACATATGTTTGGGATTAATACCAAGTGTCTCTTGCTACAGAAATTATACCAACGTGTCATTTATTGACTAATACGCATTGCATAAATAGCAAGGCACAATGGAGAATGCGGGGCACAAAAGCAGAGTACTGCCTGAGCTGCCTAAATATAGACAGTGTGATACAGATGGTGTAAGCAACATGGTGCTTAGAAGTAAGAGAGATCAAAAAACAATTTGGAAAAAAAGACAGGCATACTTTTACAGGATTTCTGTCTTTACACAGGACCATTACAGACTTCTTAACATCCTCCCAATTTACTATTCGCATACCTGTCCTGCCGTGTCCAAGATATCCAGATTGGCAGGCTCATCGTCAATGCGTATTCGTATTTTATAAGCATCCTCTGTGAATTCACAGCACATCAGAAAAAATCAAGATTGGAATACGATTGCAATACTTGTTAGACATCAATTCATGAAGAGAATGTTACATCAGAATCACCTCATCTGGCAATGCTACTATACTACATTAGTCTGATCTTCGTTTAACAAAAAATTAAATTTTTAATTGTTCCGGTGTGATTTAGTATCCTCCCAACTGTTTGCTAAACTCATTACAGTCAAACCTAGAGCTTTCTTTAAACTAAGAACTTTAAAGCCACATACTTCTCAACAGCTTAACCTGCTGAGAGAGAGAGTAAACAACAAAGAGAAAAGAGATTTTTTTTTTCTTACCAATTGTGGGATCATGGTCCTCTGGAAACCGGTGACTGATGAACTGCATAGTCATGGCTGGAAACAAAAATCAAAGACACAGTCGCGCACATCTCGGGAAACATCTGCCACTTCAGCATTCCGTTCACAACGTGCTTGAGCACAGTATTTCACTAACAACTAAAACATAAAACCATACTCGGTGCAAGACTTGAAACATGGTATATGAACTAGGTTAAAAAAACCTCAGAAACGGAGAACTACGCCCTTGACCCCAGCAAAGCACTCGTCAGGAGTTTCACAAAGCCGGACACAGTCAGAACGCGGAAGACGCCGACACACGGCGCTCGCCGGGAACCCCGGGGGCGGGGCGGAGCGGCGCGGCGCCCAAACCCCGGCTGTTTTGTTGAAGAACTCGCTCATCTCGCAGCCGCCGAGTC